AGCTTAAATTAAGGTTAGTTTAAAATGAGCAGCAGGGTAAGCTTTCGAAAATATCAAGAATAGCATACTCATGGCACTTACAACAGAACTTGATACTAATACAATTTTTACAGACAGGATGTGAATAGACCTAGGGCTATACATACATATTATAATATAATAATGAATAACTACTGCTCACAACTAGGCTCCCTATTCATTACTAAGTAAGGGGTACCACAAAAGATCAAATAATGGACGCAGTGGTTCAACTCCCCCCAACAAAAAAAGTAATAATAGGAATATTTAATCAATGTCACCAAGCTCTCAATTTGTGTTCATAATTTCACAGCCAAATAAAAATCAACCCGTAGACGATCCTTTCTCTTTACATATAAATTATTGTCAAATAACAGAGCAGTGATTATTCTTGCTTTTGCAACCGAACATGCACTGCTCATGCATTAGTCAGTTTCGTACTTTCTGGAACTCCATATGACAACCGCAGACATGGTAAAATAATTTAAGTTTAATTATCATTAACATTTTATTCTCTCAGTGAGTTCACATTACAACGAGAAATTGCAAGTTTAATATGTGTTTATTTTCGGATTACGTTTAAAAATATTTATCATTTGAGCAGAACAATTTTCTCCTGCAAACGACGATCCTTGTCTACTTGGAAAGCGAATGCGATTTTTCGAACTCACTGAATAAGTTCATTCAAAATTTGTAAGTTTTCGAACCCGCTTGCATGAGTAACACCATCATAGATCTGACGTCGCACTACGACTGAAGGCCCAAACGCAATGTGGGCGGAAGCGGAACGGAAACGCTGTCACAAATGACATCAAGATGCCTAACCGCACTCGATTTGATTCTATCTAGTTTTCAATCCGACTAATAGGCTTACTCAGATCGGGCTTTTCCGCTACCACTGCCGTTCCGCTGTCATTGCGCTTGGGCCTTGCCTCTTCCCTCATGTTTTCAAAGATATTCTGCATTTACCGAAAAACCTCTCTCTGCATTGGCGTTGCCATGCGATAAGCAGCAAATCATTTTCACAACCAACAATAGTTCTGATTACGCCGACCAATAACCTGTGCCAAAAAACGTCCAGTCGTTCCGTTTTTGTGATCATATTGATCAAATGTGCATTTACCTGTGCAATATTGTTATTATTATTTATTATTGGTCGGATACCACGTTGAATTGACGAACCATGGCGACAAGAGAGCTGTTAGCTGCATGATTGGTATTGTGCGCTTCCTCGTGTAGCAAAGCTCTCGGATGGAGTGTACGGACAGGTGCATATACATTAATCTTAGCCAGTAACTCCGGCACATCATATTCAGCAAGCAAAACTTTGGCAACGAAGACAGCCTGCGATGCGTTTCTCCGCTCACCAAGAATATCCAAGCCGGTCGCTCCAAGGAAGATGGCGCAATGCGTATCTGACGAATCTACGTTGGACTCGAAGCTGTGCAATCCATACTGCCTGGTAGGGACTGCAGACAACACACGCAAACTCAAGCAATGAGCGCACCAATGAGCAGTAAAGAGCTTTAAAACACAAAGGATCCCATAAAATTGCGCACACACGAAACATAAAAGATCTCCAGAAGCTTTTGTAATTCTAAGTAATCAGCTTGGTTGCGAACAGCAATGTAAATTTTCAGGTCATCAGCAAAAAACAATTTACCTCCGTTGCATCGTTCACAAATAGAGAGAAGAGCAGTGGTCCCAGTATGCTTCCCTGTGGAACTCCGGAACTGTTCGAGAAGCAGCAAGATGAGTAGTTTACGATGCAGGCAGTAACTTGCCGTTGTACGAGGTACGATCTCAGCCAACTGCAGAAGGGAGCAGAACATCCAATTTTGTCCAGTTTTGCTAGTAGAATGACGTGCACAACTTTATCAAACGCAGCTTTAAGATCTGAGTAGATGGCATCCACTTGGAGTTTCTTAGATACATTTTCCATGCTGACGAGATTCGTTTCGACGGAGCGGCCAGGAAAGAAGCCATGTTGGCAGGTGCTAATGTAGTTTTTGCAGGAACCAAACAATCTCTCATTGACCAGCGAGTCGAATACTTTCGATTCGACCCCGAGCGAGGTAATCCCACGGTAGTTTTCCACATTGCATTTGTCTCCTTTCTTGAAAACTGGGAACATAGTAGAGCATTTCCAAAGGGTGGGAAACTTACGCTGATGGAGCGATAGATTAAAAAACAGGGTCATCATTGCATCATTGTGGCTAAGATATCACAGCATTTTTTCAGCACAGCAGATTGCATAACGCTCGGTCCGGGTGAAAAAGAAGATTTAGTTTTCCTTATCGCAGATTGCTAGATTGATTTCAACTTGCGATGGTGAGTCGTTCGAGAAAACGCTCGAGAAGTGCCTTGCAAAAAGCCTGCATTTATCCTCAGTTGTCAATGCTACGTCGTTGCCTAGAAACACCTTCGACGGGAGACCAGTTTCCTTTCCTTTAGTATTTACGAACGACCAGAATCATTGCTTCGCAGATTGTGTTCAGTGCGAATTACATACCGCTGGTAGAGAAGCTTGTTGTAGCGGCGATAGTTGTTACTGGCAATTGAAAAATTCCGTTTGGTCAAGAAGCAGAAATACAGTCGCGCAGAAAGCAATTATAGCGATCGACAGCTATGTCGATCTCCAGGTCATTCAACACGTTCCAGTCTATCTCGGACTAGGAACGTCGCAGCAAACGTAAATCAGTCTTCCGGAAGTTGAGACGATAGACAATCGAAGTTTCATCAAAGTGAAGTTGAGATCTATTTGCGATAGAAATATCCAAAGCAGGATGGAAATTGTCAAGAGGAACGATAACATCAGGCGCCTCAGTAACGGTACAGTCAAGAAGTGAATTTTCACTAACGAACACCAAGTCTAGGAAATGAGACTGAAAGTTGGGAACTAGATTTATCTGCCTCAATCCATGAAAACCAGTACCGTCCACAAGCAAGCGGCTGGCCGGAGTAGTAACAGATGCTATTGGATGTGGATATGCAAATCCCTGATCTGATTGCGACCAGATAAGCCCAGGTTGATTGAAATCACCGAGCATAGAATCATGTCCATATAATAGTCCAAATGTAAAGCCATAGAAGAAACAAATTATACAGCATCCATATGAAGTTGCATTATACTACAGTCGAGACGTCGTTCAGGGGGAATGTACACCGTTCAGATGGTCAATATTAATGAACCTTTCCATAACGCCTCTAACCATTTGAGACATCGCGTTGCACAAAAAAGGCACGATAGGGTTGTCCATCTGAAATTCGCATTGAAATAGCTCAACTTCGACAGCAACTGATTTAAAGAAAGCTAGCTTAATACCACGTTCAGACTACAGAGTTATAACATATTATAACGGTTGTCAAATAATTGCAACACAGAAACCACCATCAAGATAGTGCTATAACATGTTATAAATCTGTAGTCTGAACGTACTGTTAGCCATCAGCAGCGAGACATTCAAACAGTTTTTAACATCTTGGTAGGAAGCTGACGTTGGTTCAATTTTGTCTTTCTGGACGCCTTGAATAAATTTTCGTATTTGCGGAGTAATTTTGATTGCCCTCTGAACAGCAGCACTATTTTCCAACCATCGGTGACCGCAAAACTTTAGCGGGAATATGGTAGATCCAGAATACATCGTGATAAACGCTCGTCTTGCTGGTACATCTTTGAAGATATTGTAGATACCACGCAAATATTTGACAACATCCCAACTGATTCTGTGAACACTATCCTCTTGAATGTATTATGCAAAATATACAGCCCACAGCTTCCCAGATCTATCAGCTTCTCGCCACCTTTTTGTACTTCTAGCTTCAATTTACATTGGACCCATCCATGGACACTTGCAGCAACTTGTTCGAAGAGATACCGGCAAGGGAGTCCATAAACGCAGCGAGTAGATCTGATGCCCGGGATCTTCCCAAAAACTGTCACGTCATGCACTGATAAAATTTCAAAGATTGTTTTATGTGTCCCACACATAATTTTTTTGCAATGTGATCAACATTATTTTTTTCCCTGACCTATATTAAAATTCCCTGACATTCCCTGACTTTCCAGATCATAAATAGAATTCCCTGACATTCCCTGACTTTCCAGGATTTTCCAGGTAGTCGACACCCTGTCAATAATAGCAACCACCTTCTGGTCCATTTGTCGAGAGCAAACTTTTCGATTTGTTCCGCTTCCAACCTTCCGATTCTCAGTTAAGCGCTGGTCAAACGATTTGCACACACTAAACACGGTACTCTTCGGCAGTTTTAGCTTTTTGACGAGATCACGTACCGACAACGTTGGATTTTGCTGCCGTTCTTACAAAATGCGTTTGCGTACTTCCACTTGATTGGACGCCATTTCACCAAACTAAACAAGAATGTAAACATGTTGTACCACGAAATAAAGTGGAGAACTACAGCTGTCATATAAGTGAAACGTTTCAGCGGTTCGTGAATTATTTCAAAAACTACACTGAAAGAAAAGTGTCCGAAATTTAACATGGACAGGCTTTATTAAATTATAATATTCAATGAAACAAAGATGAAGAGCCCGATAGGCAAATCAATTGGAATGTTAAATCAATGTACAATCATAATCAACAGAAATAAACATAATTTTACTACTACAATCTCGTTCAAGAGTCCAGATAATTCGGTCTTAGTAACAACGGACGTCGAACTTGTCATCCTTTCCTCCCCCAAAAGACCGTGAGGACGTGGCCCACGCCGTTGTTGATCTATAAATTGATTTAATTAGTGCGCTTGAACAGATAGAAACTAATCCCATGCTGATCAATTCACGGAGGAGCAACTAAAAACGGACTTATGTTTTTAAAGAGAAAACTAATAGTATTGTTGCCATAATGAGAAGTAGCACTGTGTGTAAAAGAAATCGCAATATTAAAAATTATCAAATTTATGAATTTATTGTTCTTAATTTTGCACAGGATACATCAATTCCGGATCATTCTTTTTAGCTATTTGTACGGCAAAATAGCCACCGAACTAGCCGCCGAATTGGCCGCCGGACTTGACTGGCTACACGCGATCTGTTTCTGTGCGGAAGCTTGCACGAACTTCTCCAATGGCAGGTACGGGTGAATGCAATTGATGAAAGTGTAGTAAACGATCGTAACGTAGTCGGAATTGCAGTACGTTCGAGCAACATCAGCAGCGCACTGGCTAGTTTCTGCGCTAAGTAGCTCAGGAATGCCATACTGCGTGTAGAGTCTGCCAAACTGAATGCCTCCATCAATCGTGTAGTAACCACCACGAACAGCCCAGACTAACAGCGAATGTGGAAAGTGAGGTTCGTTCAAGATGCAGCCTTCACTGTACTTCACGATTACTGCCTTTGGAAGGTTCTGTATACTTTCAATGAACACCAGAATTTGCCAGGCTTCCAGTACTGTTTTAGGGATGAATTGGGCTTTGTTAACGATGTTTCCATACTCGTGGTAGTAGCAAAGGAAGGTGGCATATGGTCGAGTGTAGACATCATCTGGGCAAATTGTGTCAAGTGCCTTCTTCACGCAAGCTCTCGTTCTCTCCGCGTAATGGAAATCCGTTGAACAAGGTTTGAAGAAATTGCCCATTACGTTTTCCACCACTCCGGTTGCGTCATCATATGCATGCAGGTTGAACAGTGTGCAACGCATCAGCTGCTTTACCTTATGTGTAGAGGGGAAGCCTTGCTTGTAATATCGTTCGAGTTCGCAATCCGATACCAGAAAGTATACAGCGCACTCTCGCAAAGCATCATCGAAACTTTTCTCAACTACAGCATGTGGCAGTTCGTATGACAGTACTGCTGAGACAGCACAAAGACACATAAGTAAGATTGGAATGATGTGACCCATGGTTGCGGTTGATGCTTGCTGAACTGAGTATGATGTTTGCACTGAAGTCAGTGAGCGACAGAGACGGATATTTAAGTGCAATCGGCTGCCAGGAAATACGCGTTCGAACAGCTCTGAGTTGACCGATACAGTTGATTGCGTTAAGTAAGACGTTGTCAATCGGGCACGTTCTATGGGAGTAGAGATAATCCTGGTGGGGTTGATCTCTTCCGTACAGCTGCTTGTGTCGTATAGTTTGTGACAAATATCTTCCGTACCTGTTAAAGCTAAGTTGTTTATGTACGTGCATCTTGTATACTGGACTTAATCAAGTTTTCTTGTTGTGTGCATTGCTTTGGAATTTAGACTATCTTGAAAATATATGATCGTTGAAAAAAAAATGGTTCACTCATCAATCACAAAGGGATTGGCATGTAAACAAACTGATTATTGGGTGCACCACCCCGAAATACGTACCCCCGCCGGCGCCGGTGGTGTACTACTTTCTAACACCCCAATGGGTCTGGGTTCAATCCCAGTCGAGGTCGGTGAGATTTTTCTGAGGCATAAAAATCTCTGGTCACGTCTTCCTTCGGAAGGGAAGTAAAGCCGTTGGTCCCGGCCCATGTGTGTTGTGAATGGGTGCGATATCCTACGCAGGTGTGGAAGCTGCCTTCCTGCTCATTCGGTTGCCGTCAATGGATGGCAATCGATGTCCGTCGGTGACGATGTGCGGTATAAGAGGTGAGGAGAAAGGAAACTAGTGGACTCTTTCATTCTGACGGTGTTCTTATGCAACAGCAGACGTGACGTCACGTCTGTTGCTGCATAAGAAGACGCGAGAACGAAAGAGTCCACTAGTTTCCTTTCTCCTCACCTCTTTTACCGCACATCGCGTCGGTGATTGGCACTAGATTGCGGAACAGAGACCGACGTTAAATAAAGGAAAAGAAGAAAAGAAAAAGAAGAAATACGTACCCGCTTCTGAAAATTGTAGCAACGAAACCAACCAACCAATGTTGAGAAGGATGTGAACATTTTGTGATGCGGCAAACATTTTCACCTGTTGTTTATATTTATTTATCCAAAGACAAACCCAGTACAGTAGACTGATGCAAAATTAGAAATTTTTGCTTTACAGCGCTCAAAAGCTTCCAAATCCGGTCCTGATTAGCCTCCCAAAATTTGAAAACTGATTTGGCACAAACCATTTCAAGAGCAAATTTTCATTAAGTCGAATGTAGCAAAGGTAAACAAAGTCGAGCTATCAGTGTCAATCGATTTTCCTGCTATTACACTATATACTGTCCGAATATAGGATCAAATCCCATTTTTAAATTTATTTACCAGTCAAATTGCTTTTTGACGTAATCACCTTCCGATCAAAATAGTTTTCGATGTTACTTAAGTCACCCAATTTCTATGGAGATGCCGTTTGACTTAAGTAACAGCGCTGAGAAACCCGTGAAAAGTGTACGTTCGTCGTTTCGCTTTCTCATTATTAAAGTGAATAAATCGAACTGTTTGTTGCTAAGATGATTTCGGTGGTCCTAAAATGATGAATGGGCTGCACGTAAGGAGACGTAATTGATAATTCTCCCGAATATCCTGGTAAATACACTTTGACTTAAGTAACAATAGGGGCCACCAAACGACGTATAATAACTTTTGACTCAAAAACCAGTTTTTTTTTAGCATGAAAGCTAGCGATTTGCATTTGTATGATTAAAACCCTGCTAATTATGTTAAACATTGCTATCACTATGAGATTATATGTGTTTACTTGGAAATAGGAATAACTTTTCGGTCATCAAAACAAAACTTTATTTTTCTCGGATTGGTGCGAATGTTACTTACGACATAATGAAAATTTGCTCTTGATTTGAAGTTTGCAGATATATTACTATAGGAAAACTAGACTTTGAATTCTAGCCCTTTTCCATGGTGCTCTGTTAAAAATAGTTCTATTTGAGATGTTTTGTGGGCAACATTGTATTCTGAAGTGTGGCATAGTAGCCATGATTTTTGTGCTCTATTATACGCGCAAGAAACACCCATGTTGGTTGCTGAACAGTTGATTGAGCATATTCAAAAGACATCAGAGCATTTCCAGCCTAATACGGAAACCGGTTGGGCATGAGTATTTCCGATTTGAATGAAACATTACTCATATGTTTATTTCCACCAATGGTTGCATTTTTCATTTAAATATGATTTTGTTTCTTCACAGTAACTTTTGAAAAGGGCGTAAAAATTGATCATATTTTTTCAAAAAAATCATAGCACGAAAAATATTGATCTGATCAAGATTACATCTGAAAAGAAGTTGTAGGAAGTTCTAGGTAAAAAAGTCAAGATCATAGGTATAAAAATGAAACTACAATGTGTTGAATCGGAACCTACCTAACTAATAAAAACCAAAGATTTAAGTAAGCTAAAGGAGAAAAATCTATAAAACTCTCTAAAAAGGAAAATCCCCAAAGGCTTGGTAGCCATCATAATGAAGTAATGAAATTGGGTTGTTAGCGGAATGCTAAATAAAACAGCAAAAAATGTTATCTTCCATTTAATTCCACTTAATTAATTTTGGTATCCATGACAGATACGTATTTCGACTACAATGTGCAGTCTTCATCAGTGTCATTCCCACTAAAGAACTTATCAAAATCTAACCCCCTTAAGTACTCATCCCCTAGGTAAAAAAGTCAAGATCATAGGTATAAAAATGAAACTACAATGTGTTGAATCGGAACCTACCTAACTAATAAAAACCAAAGATTTAAGTAAGCTAAAGGAGAAAAATCTTTACAGTTCTTTAGTGGGAATGACACTGATGAAGACTGCACATTGTAGTCGAAATACGTATCTGTCATGGATACCAAAATTAATTAAGTGGAATTAAATGGAAGATAACATTTTTTGCTGTTTTATTTAGCATTCCGCTAACAACCCAATTTCATTACTTCATTATGATGGCTACCAAGCCTTTGGGGATTTTCCTTTTTAGAGAGTTTTATAGATTTTTCTCCTTTAGCTTACTTAAATCTTTGGTTTTTATTAGTTAGGTAGGTTCCGATTCAACACATTGTAGTTTCATTTTTATACCTATGATCTTGACTTTTTTACCTAGGGGATGAGTACTTAAGGGGGTTAGATTTTGATAAGTTCTTTAGTGGGAATGACACTGATGAAGACTGCACATTGTAGTCGAATACATGGATACCAAAATTAATTAAGTGGAATTAAATGGAAGATAACATTTTTTGCTGTTTTATTTAGCATTCCGCTAACAACCCAATTTCATTACTTCAATTTATTTGAGTATTGCGCAAAATTTTCAATAAATTTACACAAAAGAACTTTTTTCCTAAGTCCAGCCGTTCTCAAGTTAATGCGAATTAATAATAATAGTAATAATAATTTTCAACATTTTATACCTTTTTCAAATGTCTGTCGAGATATCCAGCAGCGAAATGTATTTTCCATGATTGAATATTACAAAACAAACAATTCATTCACAGATATGGTAGCTGTCAGACTTACCCGTTTCTATTTAGACGCAGTGGAAGAGAAACCCAACCCTAACGTGCCTTTTTTCAGTCCTCTATTAAGGCCTGTACTCTAAAAAAATGCACCAGACAAACGTGTTCGCCAAAAATTTATTTTAAGTCGGATTTTCTTGAAACTTTCAGGGAATGAATTTATACATATGGATTATGTTTCAGCATAATTAATTTATTCAATTTCCTTTCCATCGCTGAAAGCCCGCCCTTTTCCCTTAAGACCCCTCATTACATTTTGTGCAATGGTGGAGCCGACCTTTTTGGTCACTTTCATCCATTCTTTCTTCAACTCCAGCTTGTTCTTAAACACCTTGGACGATTTTCGAACTTTGGCCTTCATTATGGCCCAAAATCTTTCCACCGGACGAATTTCTGGTGAATTTGGGGGGTTGGCGGTTTTTGGTACAAAAACAACGTTATTGTCTCTGTACCAATCCAACGTCGATCGCGCGTAATGGCATGATGCCAGGTCTGGCCAAAATAATGTCTCGCCTCCGTGGGACCGCAGGAAGGGCAACTGACGCTTCTGGAGGCACTCGGTGCGGTAAATTTCGCTGTTGATGGTACCCATTGTTATCTACGGTTTACTCAGTTTACCGCATTGGCATATGGCCTGCCAGAGCAAGTATTTTTTGGCGAATTTGTCAATTTTCTTCTTCCTTATGTCTTCCGGAACATTAAACCGTGATTTGGCAACGTAGAACTCCAGCCCCAGTATCTGCTTTGCGTCTGTCTTGATGTAGGTTTCGTCATCCATAACCACACACATCGGTTTCGTTAACCACTCTCGATACAGCTTCCTTGCGCCGGTTCGGTGCCTTCCAGACCTTGAATACACGAAGCCCAGCTCGTTTCATGGTTTGCTGAACGAACCAGGCGGAACACTTTGCCTTCAGAGCCGCGTCGCGAATCGAAAGGTTCGGATTACGCTTGAAATAATCCAACACCTTCAGGGCCTTCACAGGGTCAGCTGTCTTCGATTTTCTTCCACTTGCAGCCCGCCGCTCGGTCGTCTGGGACTCCTTAAACGATTTTACCACCCGAGACACAGTTGTATGGGTGATTCCCAGTTGTCTTCCGATCCATCTCATGGTCGCAGTCGGATTTTCCATGACGGCGCGCAAAATTATCCGGCGATTTTCTTCTTGTTTCGATGACATCTCAATAACCACTGAACCGATTGTTATGAAATTTTGCACATGTAAACAATTCACTCCATTCTAGTTATACCCAGGTTTTCATCATTTTTACCCACGGATAAAAATGGTGCATTTTTTTCGAGTACAAGCCTTAGTTGTATACCTGGGTAGAATTGTGTATATCATAACAGAAACTATACAACTATATTACATTAAACCTGTATTTGAGATAAATTCTCTTGGTACTTCTCTGACGTTTACCATATTGTGCCTAACGAGCTCAACCTATAGAGATCTCCCAGTACAATCTCACCACAGGGATGGTAGCGATCACTGCTGTCAAAAATAGTGATTTTAGTGACCATGTTTAAGAAATAAGTGACCAAATAGTGACTTATAGTTGTTGAAATAGTGACTAAATAGTGACCTAAGAGAAGAAACGTAGAAGACTTATTCATTTAGTATCTCATAAACACTTATGTACGATATGAAACGTTAAGCGAAAGATTCAATAGCATTTTTATGGCCAAACTCATGGTATCTCCAGGGTGTCTACTAACTGCAAAAGGCTAGGGAATCCTCGGGATTTTTCCTTCAAATAACTGGAAGTCTTAAAGAATTTAATAGTTTTCTTAATAAGAAGATTTTTATTTTGGAATATGCATAAACTTAAATTTTAAATAGTTCTGGACTTAAAAGCTATAATACTTCAAGAAATTTTCAAGAATCTATAGATAAATTCCATGCACAGGTTTGAAGGCTCGTGGAATTGTATTATAATTTCCAAGGACCTAACTCCAAGGGAGTTCTGGGGGGAAAAATCTTTCAGAAAATCATCAAATGCAATTTGCTTTCAAGGTAGTTCGGAGGAATTTTAGATTTCATGTGAAGCCTGACAGTTTTGAGTAGAATTTCAAGAAACTTTCAATTGAATTCAAAGTAAATTTTAATGAAAACTCTTAGGAATTTCTGAGGAGGGCGTTCTGAAGATAATTTCATAAAGTTTGTGGGAGAAAACGAATCCGGAGCATAAATAAGTCCTTGGATGTTTGTTGTTGAAAATACCAAAAAGAGGATTACAATCCAATCTAGATACAATGTTAAATCTTCTTCCCTTACATATATTTGTGCAGTTAGAAGCCGAAAGAAACGCACTAAGGTTAAAAAGAACAAAACAGTTTTTTGATGGGGAACTTAGGGGTCATCTCAGTATTTTGAAGGAATTTAAAATTAATTCTTTATTAACTCATGTTGACTGGATGAATAGACAGTATAACTTTGAAAGACTATTCAACGTCACTGAACCTAGTCGCACTGAATGGGAATCAGGGGGACCTAATATTCAACCAGGATCAGTAATTTTCTACACTGATGGCTCCAAATTAAACAACAGAGTTGGCGCTGGGGTAACGGGTCCTGGTGTCAACATATAAATAACAGTTAACTTATTTTGAAGGTAATGAAAAGGCAGATTTATTAGCAATATTGGGATCATCAAAACCATTCCTAGGTCCAGAACCATTTTGCGGGGCCTCAGAATGTACCCTCAAAATGGAACTGGGAAAAATCGATGATAGATAACATTTGGAAAAACACTAAAACAGCTCGACAGTCCAAAAGATTTATATCACCTAATAAAGAAGCAACTCAAAGACTTCTTAATCTCTCCAAAAAAGATCTATGTACTTTTAGCGGCCTAGTTACGGGCCACTGTTCAAGTAAATATTATTTAAAACAGCTAGGCAAATTGGAAGATGACAAGTGTCGATTCTGCAACCTAGAGAGTGAAAACTCGGAACATCTACTATGTAACTGTGCAGAACTTTTTCACAAAAGGAAAACATTTTTCGATAAGGGTTTAATGCAGCCCTCAGATGTACGGATGACTTCTCCCAGTAAGGCAATAAAGTTCATTCGTTCTATAATACCTTACTGGGACAACGCCTATAGTCAGCTAGTGGAAATTACTCAAACAAATAGTGATACAACACCCTGATGTGGCATACATTAAACCGAGGCCCGCCACAATAGATCAAATAACTGGTCGCAGTGGAAAAATGTACCCAACATAGGAAAAAAAAATCTGAGAATGATTCCAGGTTATCTTCAAAGGAATTCGAAAAATAAATTCAGTACAAATCATGAGAAGAAATGCCGATGAATTCTTAGCCGACTTTCAATGTAAGTAGAATTCCTAGAGCAGGAGTGAAATTCAAAAGGAAATCTGAAATGAATCTTTCCAACGGTTTCTTATTGTGGAGAATTTCAAGGTAATTCCGATAAAAACTAAAAGAAAATTAAAATCGGAAGATAGATTCATCAAAATTTTGAGGAATACTTCAATGGAACTCTCCGTTGAATATTAAATGGACTATTTTGAGGGCTTCAGAACCACTTGAATGTTCCCAATTTGTTCCTGATGTTAATAAAACTTCCTTGAAGTGCTTTTGGTCCGATGCTCACAATAATTCTTAAACTTTCCTGTACTTTATAGGACTTCCTAAAGTTTCCTCAATTTTTCTAATCATTGTGGATCTCCTCTAAAGGTTTAACAATTTGCTGAAGTTCTCTGAACTTCTTTAAAATTTATGTTTTCTGAAATTCTCCAAACTTCTCTAAAGTTTTTGCAGTTCTCATGAAGCTTGTTGTACTGCACTGAATTCAATTGAACCGTCCTAAAATGTGCAATCTTCCGTGAACTTATGCGAAGACCTCAATCAACTTTTTAACGTCTCTGAAGTTATCTGAAAATCTGGGAACTGCTTTAAATTTCCCATAAATTTTCTGAAACCAATAGAACTGTCCTTCCCCTGAAAATCTTCAAATTTTCGGAGCTAACTAAACTTCTTTCAAATGCTAATGTTCATAAAAAATCCTGAAGTTTGCGGATCTTCCCTTAGGCTCCCTTAGATTTCTATTAAGTTCACGAGATGTTTCTGAAGACCACTGTCCTTTAGTGAAGTTTTCTAAGTTATCCTAGATTTCTGGAACTTTTATTCTCCCGCAATTTTCATGGAATTAGAACAAAATAATTAATAAAGTTCTATGATTTTCACTGAAGTTCTCAAGATTTTTCTGAGATTCGTGAAATTTTCCTGAAATTATCAACACTAATTTAAAACTTTTTCAACAATCTAGACTTTCCTGGTGTTTTTAAAACTGCCAAAACGATTACTGAATTTCTTTAAAGTTCTCTAGGCTGCCCTGAATTTATTAGTATTTGTTTAAGAACCCGCAACTTTACTGAAAATAATTGATTTGCATTGACATTTTTTTTTAAGTATTATAACCATTTTAAACGCTCAATAATTTTCCCTGAACTTATCTATGCTTACCTGAAGTTCTCTAAATTTGTTAAATATTCCGGAAAATTTACAGATATATATTCATAATTCCCAGACGCTTCTGACGTTTTCGGATCACTCATAGAATTCTTGGAATACTCCATAATTCCACGGAACTCTTTGTAAGTCACTGCAAATTTGCTTAAGTTAATGGGTTTATTCTGAAGCTATCTGATCGTCCTCGAAGTACTCGGAATTTCGCTGAATATCATGAAACTATCTAAAAATATTTAAAATTTATTAGAAGTTCTCTGGAATTTCTTGAGAATATCGCTGCTTGTTAAAATTTCTCGCATTTTTTTTTTTAATTAATGGAATTTCGTTGATGTTCTCTAATCAAAAATACTCTTACGTTTTGCGGATGTTCATACAATTTTTATCACGTTCCACTTCTGTGACTTCTGTGAAGTTACTGAAATATTTCTGAAGTATTGGCGTTTGAGGCCCATGATCCGTCAACATGATAGCCAAGTACTATTTTGGTCCGATTTGGTGTCAAAGTACTACTCGAAAGACACGGTATCTTGGTACAGAGCAAACTATGTGCAATAGTGCCAAAAGAGATGAATCCTCCGAATTGTCCGGAGGCCCGGTCAATCGAAACTTTTTTGGGTCCTTTCCAAGGGATATCTACGGAAACACTTTAAGGCAGTTGGAAAAGACTGGGCAAAAGTGGTTAAAATTATTGCAAAGGAATCTGTGCTAAAGCTCATGGGAAGCGTCAGATTAAAAGTTCGCTCCTTGGCATACGATTAAAGGAACTGCAGATTATTTTCATCCAATTGAAAGAGAATACTATACAGAACATGTATATGAAATAAAAATTTGAGGTCATTAACATAATGTCATTTAATTCAAATTATAAACTGTGTTTATACTTTATGGCACACCCTATAATAAAAAATAGAAAAAAATATATGTTTTTTTAAGGATATTGTGCAGAGCAAACTAACGATTGAATAGGGCTTAGTTTTTTTGCCCATCAATATTTTGTAATTTTAAAAAGGGTGCACACTTATATTTTCTGCCGAGATGGGTACCATCGGGCAACTCTGCATTTTATTTTGCTGGATCTCAGTGAAAAACTTGCCAAAATAAAATGCCGAGCTGCTCGGTGGTGCCCATCTCGGCAAAAAATCTAAGTATGTGGGGTTAAATGAAATAAAAATAAAACTAGCATCAGCCTAATTTAGTTCAATCAACAGTTACAAAACATTGATAAAACGAAAATTGCTGTTTGGGTACACCTAGTGATCCATTCAGCCTAATGACCTGTTAACGGAATTTTCTCCCTCAATTTTGGAACCTGACTACGCCCCTGCTATAATTGGCTTTAATTAAATAGCATTAACCTCTTCCGCGTAATCAACACGGGCATTCGATTGCCCCCTATCTGCTCCATTCGTCTGCCGAGTGCATCGTTCCAAGTCTTCACCGCATCAGGAAGGATCATTTCATTGAAAGACACGTTCTTTACCAGCTGTTTGGGATTGCCCTAGCTATATAAATCTATCGATGAGCTCCTCACCATCACTCAGTAGAGCAACAATTAGTCCGGTAAGACGCACTTCTTCGTGTTTGCGCCAATCCATGGATTCGAAAATGTTTTTATCGAGCATCGTTTTGCTGTCTCTGAGTAGTGCGGCACAGGCACGGTGCGATCTTTCTCACTACATTACATACAAAAGCTTCTACACGGCAATGTACGAATGTGGTCAATACTTCGAAATTTGCAACAATACCCTGGATCAATACATCTATAACGGATATCCCAGTACACCGGAAGTGATGCGATTAATTCATTGTGCGTGCGTGAATACTGGTGCCTGGAATGATAATACCGGTGTGAGGAAGAACGTGTTTCAATTTTTGTTCAAACCCAACGAGCATGACACCGAGTACGAGGATAGAACTCAGTGCTGTTTGGACAAGATTTGTAAGGACGGATACGATCAAAACTACCTAGCGTACGAAACATTCAGCTGTTATTATCAACAATATGGGCGCCTAGTGAAGAACGAAGTATTCGTTCCGTTGGAAGAACTTGAATTCTTTCAGCTAATGACGTTTATCGCTAAGATCCTGCTTGTTAGTAAGGAGAAGCTGATCCAATTTTCTCAGGGTGATTTCCTGAATGATCCCGTGTTCAAGCAAGCTCTGTATATAACAGCCATACGGCAGGGATCTTATAGCTTGGAAAAAGGATTCATAATGGAGGTTGGATACGCGCAATACAACATTCCTGAGCTGTTTGCGCCATGTACTAGGCAGTGTGTTATCGATGCGTCTGCTGAATACAGCCAACTCCCCGTCGACGATTTAGTATACAAGGTCTATAAAAAGTGCCTCCACTCGCTTGTGGATCCTATACTAGTGGGATATTTTAAAGCTATTTTGCGTGAAAAGGCATGTGGAATGCTGACTTCGTACTGAGCAATAATTACAGAAATGAACGAAAATTTAAGCAATTCGATAAATAAATCCAAGGATTAATTGAACATGTGAATTCATTATTTGATGACAGATCAGGGACACAGCCATGATTTCTGTTTGGGTTTGTTAACCTTTTAGCGGTCGCGTCAAAAAAAGTCACGTAAGCAGTGACTACACGGCAAATAATTCCAGTTATAGCTCTTGAACTATACCAGATAGAAAGATGCCGCCTTCAGCATAGTATTCAGTCGGACAATACCCATGTGGCAGTGGCAAGTTTGATTCACTAGGTGGTGCTAGACTACAAATAAACTTCTTCCATTTATATCTCAGGATTGAGACCAGACAAAAGTTTTCAGCAAAGGTTTTCTATTTGACGAGACCCGTTTAGTAGTACCTATTATACTTGGGAACTGACTCACTGGGAGGCGCCAGAGTACACATAAACTTCTTCTATATATATCTCAGGATGGAGACCAGATAGAAGCTTCGTGTCTTCTGCAAAATTGTTCAATTGGAAGAAACTCATTCAGTAGTGATTAGTTTAGTTGGGAATTGATTCACTAGGTGGCGCCAGAATGTTACTTCTTCAATTGATATCTCAAGATCAAACAGCAATTTGACGCTTAGCATCTTCAACTAAACAGTAATTTGTTCAATTGGATAAAACTCATTCAGTTGTGGTTAATTAACTCACTAGATGATACCAGAGTGCAAATAAACTTCTTTCAGTGATATCTCAAGATCAATAGATGTAGAAGATAGAAGTTTCATGTTTTCAGCAATGTTCTTCAATTAGACGAGACCCGTATAGTAGTACCTAGTGTAGTTGGTAATTGACTCACTAGGTGGCGCCCATGTTCAAATAAACTCACTAGGCGGCCCCAGGGTACAAATAAACCTCTTCTATCGATATCTCAGGATTGATACCATATAGAAGCTTCGTGTCTTCAGCAAAGTTGTTCAATTTTACTGGATACTCGTTCATCCTTGACTAAAACGAGACAAAAAGTGGAGTTGACATCGTCGATAAAATGTGTGCTGCTTACTCTGTGTCAAGGGAAACTCGACTTTGCAAAGTTATTTATATGGAATCTTCCTAGGCTGAATGTATGAAACGCAGGATATTCTTAAAACAACTTGCTTTGGGTCTGATGAAGGAGCTCTTCCAGCTATGATCGAAAATCCCAACGCTGCCCTGCGATGTGAAATTATTTTTGATCAACTATATAAACGTTGAAGCGGAGCAATTGCAACCCTTGCCAGATCGTGATAAGGGAATACGCAAGCACTGCAAAAACTCATCAACCACAATCCGTTGTGGTACATGCAATAGATTTGTTTGCAGAAAGCACTCAACAATAGTGGCAAAATGCGAAGGTTGTCAATCAGCGGAGGTCTAATATGACTGATTGCACTCAGCAAATGCATAGTTCGTTATTAACTTGTATTCATCTTCTTTTTCGCATTTCAAGCTTATTGCTTATTGCATATTAGCTTATTGTGTGCTCTCAACTTAGTGTTCTAGGTGGACTCCCACAGTTATCAATTAAGAGCTTTCGATGGCTGTACCTTTAATGTATTAGTATAATTGTGTGGCAAGTACAATCATACTTTATGCCCAGGGAAGTCGAGACATTTTCCAACTTGAAAAATTCCTAGACCGGATCGGGAATTGAACCCAGCGACGTCCAGCATGGTCTTGCTTTGTAACTGCGCCTTTACCGACTGCGGTAAGGGAGGCCCATGATAATTATTCATGATTTTTGTTATTAAACACTAGCAATAAAGCATTAATGAAACATCGTTTATTTCAGAAAACAAAAAAAAAAAAAACATGTCACATGTTCCATCTGGCACCCCATAGTGAATCAATTCTCAACTAAACCATTCACTGCTGCACAGGTCTCAATCGTTTCAAATACTTTGCTAAAGAAAGGCAATTTCTATTTGGTATCGTACCTGAGTTATCACAAAAACTTTATTTGTACAACTAAACTTCACTACTGAACAGGTCTGAACAATTTGTGAGTCAATTTTCAACTAAACTTCTTACTACTTGTTAATTTAAACAACTTTGCTGAAGAAAGCAAGTTTCTGTTTGGTCTCGATCCTGAATCGTGAGTCAATTCCTAACTTAACTATTCACTATTAAACGGGTCTCATCATTTTGAACATTTTTTTTTTTGTTTATTAATTCATTTAATAAAGCTCAACCGAATTAACTTTACAGAGCCGAGGATTTTTGGTCACTATACAATACATCTTAAAACTATAGTCAAAAGGTACAACACAATAAACACTTTATCTTCCGCTATCCAAAAAGCCTCCTCCATCAGAACTGGAGCCGCGTCCAGTAGTTTCATTGTATGGCAAATTGTTGTACGCCAACGAGGGTCAGAGCGCGTCCATTGCAGCAATGGACGCAAAACGTGGTCAGCATTCACACACTCATCACTAAACGGTTGCTTTCCAAAGTCGACGACGCATCGACCGAAAGAACTGCTGATGAAGAACAATGAGGAGGACCACACAATGGTTGCTGCCGAGAAAACAGACGATCGCGTAGCACACATCGAGAGTGGCCTGCTTTTGTCGACAGCCGAGTAAACACTCTGAACAACTTTGCTGAATTAATAAAATTGACATCTGGCCTCAATCTTGACCTTTCACTAGATGAAACTTATTTGTGCTCTGACGCTGCCTAGTGAGTCGAATCCAAACTAAATTGTTGAAGGCAGAATCTTTCTATGTTATATCGATCCTGAGTTATCAAGAGAAAAAGTTGTTTATACTCTAGCGCCACCTAGTGAATCATTTTTGAACTAAACTACTCAAACTGAACCAGTCGCATAATTTTCGACTGCACAACTTTGCTGAAGACATAATTTTCTTATCTGGTATATTTCAAAAACAATAATTGGAATTGTTCACCGTGTACTCAGTGCACGGCGCGACTGCTTAAAGAACTGATCGAGTCTTGGTCGTTTGAACAACTTTACTAAAGATACGAAGCTTCTATCTGAAGAAGTTTATTTGTACTCTGGCACTACCTAGGGCTGAGGTCAAGCTTCCAACGGTTTAATTCAAAATTGCCACGATTAACTGTTAAGTAACCACGTGTTGCCTCTCTAAGAGAGTCTCAAAACATGTAGTGAGACAGAGCTGGTAGTGTTGCCAATATAATGGTAAAAAATGCAACCATTATAATAATTACATTCAAGTAGAGATTGGGAAAGCCAAGATCCCAATGACCTCATAATACATATTCCGAGTGCTTTCGAGGACATGGGCAGAACCTTATTTGAGTCAAAACTAATCATACGACCACTATCAAACCATATGAGAGTTCGAAAGAAGATCATTTTTGATCACATTTAGTCTTCAGAGCAAAATGGTCATACACGCACATGTTCTGGGTATCCCCCGAGAAGTGACAAGTTTCTTATAACAAGATGATTAGTGATCATATTAAGTGTTCAGCATTACATTGACAACAATCATACGTGTTCCTTAGTGTTCCTTTGTGCTTCCGTAGAAGTGACCCAATGATATTGTATAATTCATATCAATATTCAATATCATATCTGATAATATTATACACACCGAACATTCAATACACAATCGAACATGGGTGTGAAGGTTTTTAGGCTACATGTCGCTGGGTCTAATAAGTAGCTATCGGTTGTGGTTTAAATCATATCTCAACTTAATCATTGACCAACCTCGTAATGTGGGTAGATCACCTTTTTCTGGTACGTTACGGGATGTAAGATCTATCACCGATTCCTAGTCCTGACTTCTTCAAACTAGGGGAACAGGATTTTTCAGTAATCAAAGGAACACATCTTAGTCCTTGTTACTTTTTATGCCTTGTTAATCCTCGGGTTGCTTGGACCGAGGATGATCTTGAAACAAGGAAAAAATGAGTTAGTTAGTCTTCATCTATGTGATTCCTAATCTTCTATTCGTTGTTCCCTAGTTTGAAGTGGTTAAGACTAGGGTTCTGATGCATGGTCGGCATTATCGGTGTCATTCCTTAATTTTGTTGCTAAGGAATCCAATTTTGACTGACAAAGGGGCGCGACTGGAGGGTGTTTCAACACTCCGAAGGGTATAAATAGAGTCGGAACGACAGTCCACCAGCTGACTCGAGTAACAAACATTCTCAGACGGAACAAGTCTGTTTCGAAAACATCTACCATGGCGTTGTTGGACGTTGAAAAAGCGTTCGACAATGTCTGGCATGATGGCCTGGTGTTTAAATTGCAGCAGTACGGAATTCCAATCTTCCTAGTGAAGAACAACAACCTATCGGACAGGACGTTCCGAGTCTCTCTGAATGGCATCACATCGGAAGCTTTCAACATTGGTGCTGGGGTTCCACAAGGAAGCATCCTTGGCCCCATTCTATTCAACCTGTTCACCTCCGATATGCCGGCTCTTCATGATGGTGGATCGTTGTCTCTGTTTGCAGATGACACATCCATCGTCTACAAGGGTAAGGTCATTGGAGTTCTGACTGCCAAACTTCAGAGAGGCCTGGACGTCCTATTTTAACAGCTAGAAGATCCGTCTCAACGCGGCAAAGACCCAGGTCATCATCTTTCAACACTCAAAATCTCCCAGACTTGTTCCGTCTGAAAATAATAAGATCTGCTTAAACGGCTCAGTGGTGGAATTTGAAGGCGAACCAGCCTCAGGCTGAAAGCCTCCTTAATAAAGATAAATTAATTAATCAATTAGTGGTGGAATGGTCCAAAGAGGTCGTGTACCTCGGGCAAACAATAGACAGCAAGCTTCTTTTCAGGGAGCACGTTGACAAAACCAAAACCAATCTTGATAAGATCGTTGTATCCACTCATCAACAGGAGGTCTACCCTGTCCCTGAAAAATAAGCTTGCTGTCTACAAACAAATCATCCTTCCCGTAATAGAATACGGGATGCCAATCTGGGAGAGTTGCGCCAAATGCCATCACCTCAAACTCCAAAGGACCCA